CATCATAATAAAGGAGACAGAGATAAATAGATAGCATTTGTATAGCGCAAATCCCCGCTCACCAGCAAGCTCAATGCTCAGCTGGTATCACACATGGTAAAAGACAAGTGTAGAGCGCGCTAAGCTTAATCTCCGACTGGGTTGTTGTTGAACTTGTTTTAGTTTTGGTAAGAGTTTTACGGCACTCAAACGCAATAAGCTCACGTAAGTACAGGAGATTAGAGGTGTTACAAGAGAGTTACCAACTACAAACACAAAAAAGGAGGAGAGATCAGGACGATAGATGCTTGGTAGGCTTGACTCTCCCACTTTTAATTTGGTGTGCATATCGTGTTTGAGTCTTCTGTGGCCACAACGGAGTCTAAAGATTGGGACCTGGTCTGTTCTATTTAGTATGTGGTAGGGGTCATGTCTGTTGTGTTTAGGGTGGGACTCTTTCCATCTGTTTCTTAAGCAGATTTTATTAGTGTTTTTTAATCTGAGAGATCCATGCCATCTTCAATTTTGGTCATTTTGGCTGCTTCTTTGACTAAGTCGTCTGCTTTTTCATTTCCATGAATGCCACAGTGACCTTATATCCACTGCTGAGTTGTGTTGGCTTGGGAGTTTAGATCACATAGGAGTGAAAGGAGCTGTTTGTGGCTTTTGGGGAGCTTGTAGGACAGATTTGGCATCTGTGAGGATAACGGTGTTGACTTTAGATTTTTGGTGATTCAAGAGAATGATGGCTGCTGTTTCGAGTGCTGATTTTTCTGCTTTGTAATTGGAAGATAGAGATCCTAGGGGGATGGAATGGCTCTCTGTTGACCCATCTATCCACTCTATGTAGATACCTTCTCCGCCGTTTCTGACTGCATCAGTTGCTGATCCATCTGTGTAAACTCGATTCCACCGGTTGCTTGTTAAGTTTCTGTCCAGGTTGTCGAGTGTCAGTGACTTGAGTATTGGAGGAGGGACTTCAGATTTGGTGCCAAGCTTTTCTAGGTTTTCTCGAATTTGAGGGGGGCGATAAGTCTGAAGGGGGTGGACTTGACACGGGTCTAGTGGGGTTGGAGAATCTTCACGAGAGATTTCTAGTCCAGAGCTGGAGTGTCTGGCCATATGGAGGAAG